TGTATCAATACTTGTAAATTCTTGTATGCATTTTCTCTCGAGAGTCTGCGTTTAATAATTAACCATAGGTAACTTGTAGTGTTGATTCATGTATCAAATTATGTGACCAGTAGCACTAAGAACAATTATTTGGTACAAATTAAATTTTTGTGACTAATTTTTGTTGTTTTAATGTATAGATGAATTAAACAAACATGGAAAGGCTTAAAAATTATTTAATTTTAACATGACCTACCAAAATAGCAATTCCCTTTGATTTCGAAGTGTGGACACATAAGGAAACTGATATCAGAATCTAGTGATGTTGTTGATCTATCTGTCATTGAACTATCTGATGTTCCAAGTAGATCAGAAGCATTTAAGCTTGCAGCAAAATTTTGCTATGGAATAAATTTCGAGATAAGCATAGAGAACATCGCAATGCTCCGATGTGTGGTAGAGTATCTTCTGATGACTCAGGACTATGCGGTTGGAAACCCTGTGGGAAGAGCTAATGCATACTTAAATGAAGTGGCATTGAAGAGCCTAGTAGGTGCAGTTATTCTTTTGCACATGTTAGAAAGGTTCCTCCCAATGATGGAGAAGGTAAAATTAGTGAACCACTGCATAAATGCAGTTGCTTTTATAGTCTGCAAAGAGAGCCAGTTCAGTGTGTCCAATAGGGCTGATGGCAGCAATAAGGGTGCGGTTTCTTTAGCAATGTATTATCGAAAGCTTGTTATGGATTGGTGGGCTGAAGACTTAATTGTTCTTAGAATCGATATGTTCCAATGTGTTATGATTGTAATGATGGAAATAGTGTTTAAGCTATTAGACGATATAGGGTGACTGATGCTGCATATGACTGATATTGCATATGGATATTAGACGATTTGGGGTGATTGATGCTGCCAGATTTTATGTTCCCTCTTTCCATGAGATTCTCTATTAAGTCTAATCCCTTAATTTGAGGAAGATTGACATCTAGATGACTTGTTGATAGTTTTGTGCCAGCTACTTGCTGCACTCCCTTAATTTAAGGAGTGATAGCTTTAGGGTTTACCAAGTTAGTAGGATTTACCAAGGGTTGCTTGTAACCTTCTACCTCATTATATATCCCCCATTGTACATTCAATCAATCTATGAAAAATACATTCAAACAAACTTAAAATTTCCACATAACAATATACTCTTGGACCAGTACTCATGCTCTATGCGCAGAAATCGCTAAGAGGTTTGGTAAGATCTTACTCCACAATGTCATAATTTTTAGTTTAGTAGCTCATATCTTGACATATAAATCTTCTTTTGGCATAGGAAATATTTGGAAAGGGGAAGAAGAAAATCGAGCTGCGACAAGAGCACGAGAAGAGGGTTGTCTTAGAAACAATTATGAGTCTTCTGCCAAGGGAGAAAAATGAAATGTCAGTTAGCTTTTTTTCCATACTGCGAAAACCCTGGAGACAACGGTTGCTTACCAGCTAGATTTGGAGAAGAGAATGGGGTTGCAATTGGCACAAGCTGTTTTAGATGATCTCTTGATTCCATCATATTCCTATACCGGGGACACATTGCTTGATGTCAACACTGTGCAAAGGATCATGACGAATTACCTTGAATATGAAATGTAGGGGAGCTATTTGGGATATAATTCAAAGGATGATTTTGGTTCTCCTCCACCAACTAACATGGAACGTGTCGGAAAGCTAATGGAGAACTACTTGGCCGAAATAGCCACTGACTGTAACGTATCTGTCTCAAAGTTCATTAGCATTGCTGAACTAATTCTAGAACAATCAAGGGAAACAAAAGATGGCATGTATAAAGCCATAGATATCTACCTAAAGGTGCACATTTTCGTGTATATCTTTCTTAATAGCAAATGCTACATGTATTTACAATGGTTATTTAGGCTTTTTATGTAGGGTAGTGAGTTTCACACTCCCCTTTTCTCTGCCTGAACTTTTTTTTTTTTTTATCTTCTTCTAGCCTTGGATTGTATAAATCAAAGGAGAATCTAGAAACATAAACAAGGGGATGAGTGCAAAATGAGAATACAGAGTGAAAATAACTACCATTCTGTTTTAATAGAGATGAAATTACCATGGGATCAAAACATCTCTTAGTTAGATTCTAATGGCATTTTCTAATACAAAACATCTCTTAGATAGATTATCACACAAGAAAGGCTAGAAGTTTGAAGTGGTGGATATAACTGAGTCTGATCTTAAAGGATATAAGGTGTGATGTCTGATTTTAATTCATGCATTTCAAAAGACCCAAATTGAGCTACAAGGTTGCTCACAGTGCGACTTTGTTTTAGAATTATTTTCTTATCATAATGAAGTTGTACATAATTGCAGGTGAAGGTACCGGCCTGCTTCGCCTCCATAGCACTTATCGTCATGATCTTAAAATCTACAACTCTGATGAAGGCCCTGTGCAGGTATAGTCTCATTAGTGCTCATGGGTTTCTATATTTTTTGTTGCTTCCTTTTTCTTCTTGTCTTATTTGATCTCTATTTAAATGAAGTAAATTGCCTTATTGTTATGATCATTAGCCCCTGAAATTTTCATCATTTATAAGTTACATTATTTACAAGATATTTGTTTACAGATGTCTGCAGCTGCTTTTGCTAAGGGCCTACTTGATCTTGAAGGGCAGCTAACACCAATCCTAGTCTATAGTTGGTTTTTTATGTGATTCTGACTGCTTTAGGATGTTGAGGTACATGACTGAATTATTCCCTTTCTTAAGGTTTCCCTTGTTAGCAAGGACTCCTCTATGTGGGATGGACTTGACAATGCAAGTGTTGAGATGGAGGAAGCAAAGGTTTGTTTGTCATTTTACAGGTTGATTTGTTTTAGTTTTTGGTGTGGTGGAGCCCATAAATGAGAATGCTTCTTCTTTAACATATGTGATCATGTGATTCTCTTTTTCACATACTTCCCCTGTAAGCTAGGTTGAACAAGATTATTAAAACGGGTAATAACAGTGCAACACCTCCTTCGATGGCTGATGGAGGTGGTCTCCTTGGATGGCTTTCATCAAATATAACATAAGATTTTGTGGTATCCACTTGTGTAAATATTTTAAATTGGCGATCAAATCAGTTTGTTGTATTCATATAGGGTCAAGGAGTGTAACTGTAAACAATCATCAAAATCAGAGTTAAAATAACCGTTAAATCATGATTTTTCGTTTATAACTATCAAAAAGTTTTGTCCCGTTACTTGATCTCTGAATGTTTGTTTTTTGTGATTTTTGGCTATGTGATCTCGAAGTACATACAAACAAGTTTGACAGTTAGATCGTTGAAACTAATTTCGTACAATGTGTTTCCCATCAACTTCAATGGTATATATATTTACTAAGTAGATTTTAATTTATTTATTTTGTACGCAAAAGCAAAAGGGTAAAGGAAAAAAAAAACAAAAAAAAAAAACTTTGCTCGACATAGGTACAACTGTGTCGCGCAAAACATCTTTGCACGACGCAATTGTACCTATGTCGCACAAAGTTTTTTATTATTTTTTTTCCTTTTGCTTTTCTTTTGGGGTTCTTGCATTGCCTTTTTCTTTTGTGGTATCCACTTGTGTAAATGTTTTAAATTGACAATTGAATTAGTTCGTTGTATTCATATAAGGTCAAGGAGTGTAACTGTAAAAAATCATCAAAATTCATAACCGTCGAAAAGTTTTGTCCCGTTAATTAATCTCTGAATGTTTGTTTTTTGCGATTTTTGGTGTATGCGATCTTGTAATATATGCAAACAAGTTTAACGGTTGGATCGTTGAAACTAGTATCATATGATGTGTATCTCATCAAAACAGAGATTCATTAACACTTGGAGTTTATTTATACTTTCATTAAGTATAACATAAAATTTTGTGTTATCGACTTGTGTAAATATTTTAAATTGATGATCAAATCAATTCGTTGTATTCATATAGGGTCAAGGAGTGTAGCTGTAAAAAAATCATCAAAATCGAAGTTAAAATAACCGTTAAATCATGATTTTTCGTTTATAACCATAAAAAAGTTTTGTCCTGTTACTTGATCTTTGAATGTTTGTTTTTTGTGATTTTTGGCATATGCGATCTCAAAGTAAATACAAACAATTTTGATGGTTGGATCGTTGAAACTAGTTTCGTACAATGCGTATCCCATCAAAACAATAGATTCACTAACACTTGGAGTTTATTTATACTTTCATTAAGTATAACATAGGATTTTGCAGTATCCACTTTTGTAAATATTTTAAATTGATGATCAAATTGGTTCACTATATTCATATATGGTCAAGGAGTGTGGTTGTAAAAAATCATCAAAATTGGAGTTAAAATAACCGTTAAATCATGATTTTTCGTTTATAAGCGTTGAAAAGTTTTGTCCCGTTACTTGATCTCTGCATGTTTGTTTTTTGCGATTTTTGGCGTATGCGATCTCGAAGTATATACAAACAAGTTTGACGGTTGGATCTTTGGAACTAGTTTCGTACAATGCGTTTCCCATCAAGTTCAATGGTGTATATATATATATATAGTTGTTTTGTACTTATAACACTTAAGAAATTGAATAATATATATATGTAAAAAAAAAATTATTGTGGGTTTTTATTAGAAAAATATATTATTGTGGGGTTTATGTAAAAAAAAATTGAATTGGAAATAACGAAAGTCACATTTTCAGTAATTTTTGTAATAATTTTTTTTTTTAAATACCTTTCGCGACGCCTTAATGTGGTCGTCGCACAAAACCACTTTGTGTGACGTTGCGCCAGTTGTGATAATTTTGGATTTTTTTCAAATTTCCAAGTTTGGACCCGAACTCTTTCTTTCTCGTAGACCTCTCTCTTCCCTCTCCCTAATCTCAGACTCTCTCTCGACCTCACTCCTCAGTGTCCTCACCCTCACTCAGGCATTCTCTCTCGACCCTCACTCAGTCACTCTCTCTCGACCTCACCCTCCTTGACCTCAGTCTCACTCAGTCACTCTCTCTCTCGACCTCACCTTCCTCACCGATTTCTCTCCTCCTCCCACATTAGACAAGTGACTAACCTCTCATCCCTCACTTCCTTCTCATCCCTCACCTCACTGTGCATCGATTCTGCCCCAAATCAGGTAAATTTTGGAATTAATTTAGGGTTGGAATTCTAGATTAGGGTTTGTGAAATTTAGCACTTGGAAGATAAAGTATAATGTATACTGAGGGTTTTGGGGTTGAAATCTAATTGCATCCGGAATTGGATTCCAGCTTTTGCTTTGCTTCATACTCTTGAAGGGGATATGCTTCAAGGTCTTGTTTTCGGATTTACTTCCAGCTACTAGAGGATTTCAAAAAGTCGAGTGGACGAAGAGAAACCCTAATCCTAATGATTACAATCTACCGTCATCTCTGGTAATTCCTCTCCATCTCGCTTCTATTTTTGTGTCCTTTCTTCTTCCTTGCTTCGGGTCGGAAAATTAAAGAATTGAGTGAATCAAAAACCAAAGGAGGTTCATGGCTAAGGGTAAAGATGTCCGAGTAACGGTTATTTTGGAATGTACCAGTTGTGTTCGAAATCGTGTTAATAAGGAATCAATGGGCATTTCCAGATATATTACTCAAAAGAATCGACACAATACGCCTAGTCGATTGGAATTGAGAAAATTCTGTCCCTGTTGTTACAAACATACGATTCATGGGGAGATAAAGAAATAGATCGAACCGATCGCTCGTGTGTCAGTCTTCCAAGGAAGATGAAAAATTACATATTATATATATAAAATTTATTTTTTAATTTATTTAAATATAAACAAACCAAATCCTATTTCGATCAGATCAAAGATGATGTAGAATTAAGAAATAGGATTGGGATTTTCAAGATAAGGAATAAACAAACCATGGATAAATCCAAGCAAATCTTTCTTAAATCTAAGCGATCTTTTCGTAGGCATTTGCCTCCGATCCAATCAGGGGTTTCCCTCCTTGGCATATTCTCTCACGTATCTCAGACCAATCAGTTTCTTCAAGAATAACGCCTAGGATGTACGATTTGTGTTGGTCTTTGCTTCCAACTGCTAAACTTCATAAGTAGTAATTAAATAATTATATGCTTTCATGTGCATTTTACGTGTTTTTGAGTATTTTTTTGTGTTTTGGATACGTACTCATATGGTCATTTACATAATCCTCCATGGACTTGTCTGTGCTAAATTGTTGTCCCTAACATGTTCGACGAAATGCCTCAACAGCTTTGATTGAGTTGGATTATTGGATAATTTATACGAAACTACTACTCCTCTGTTCAGGTCCACCATCTGCTCGACTTAACGCTCTTATAATTGAAGTTTACTGATCTTTAATCACCACTTTAAAAGACCATGTAAAACATGACATATTAAGGTGTCCAAAGAAAAAGATAGATGTGTTATTTGAATACAGAGTTGAGTTGGTTGGGGGTTTTGTGGGATTCTTAAAATGGTAATGTTTTACTATTTATACATAGTGCAATTTCTTGCAAACCATGTATCTGGGATGCGCTATATATTGGTTTTGATTACTTTATCTCTCAGTTTTTTTAATTGACTTCACATTTTCTTTTTCATTTATTTTATGCAAAAGAACTGTTCAGTTTGCTTTCAGGTTGTCTTCTTCGCTGTCTTAATTGAAGTCATCAGTTAAGTGTGTACTTTTTGTTTTTCCCAAAATTCCAAAGCAAACAAGGTCAGGTTTATTTGTTCAGTTTTCTTTGCTTTTTTCTTCTAGTTTCAAATGCAAGAAAGGATCAGTTTTCTTTGCCTTGTTGGTTTTTGTTTGTTTTCTTCAAGTCATATGCTGATGCTTGAATTTTGATGAGAAAACCAGTAATCGGATGTGGATTTTGATTAAGGTGAATCTTGTCTACAGGTTATTTGCTTAAATCGTATATTTTTTTTGTTTAAGGAAATTGGATATTTGGATGTGAATTGAGCATTGGATACTGATCTGATATTGTCTTAAGTCGATCTTCGTGTGTACATAGAATTCAGTTCTTGATAAGTAGAGGTACCAACTTTGACTGGCTCTGTTTGCAAAGGATTATGGATTTGGTAATTTGTTTTCTTTAGTTGTTTCGATTAGTAATTGTTGTGATTAAACACACTAAGCCTTGGAGATCGAATTATACGCAGGAAAAAAAACAGTCCATCGTGCTGCCTTTGATTAGTAATTGTTGTGATTAAACACACTAAGCCTGGGAGATCGAATTATACGCAGTAAAAAAAAAAAAAACAGTCCATCGTGCTGCCTTCGATTAGTAATTGTTGTGATTAAGCCTGGGAGATCAAATTATAGAAAGTTGGGTTGGGGGTTTGACAGATTAGGATAGGTCTCTTGGTTTAGGTTTGACTCTTTTTAATCAATCATGCTGCCTTGGATTGATTACACTTTTTAATCTTCAGTTAATGTTTGTTCAATTTTCTTTTCTTTTTTCACACATGGTTTATTTGTTTAGTTTTCTTTGCTTTTTACTTCTAGTTTCAAATGCAAGAAAGGATTAGTTTCTAATGTTACATTTTTATGGTTCAAAAAGTGTATAGATGTCGCAATTGATCACTCGTCGTCAGAGTGTGACCAATGCGCCTCCCGCATTATCACCATCTAATACTCTAGCCATGAGTGCTCCATTGATTGGGGAGCCTACACCCCTTACTGAGGCTACTTCTACGGTGTCCTAGGTGCTCGTCTCATCGACGGCATTAGTGTTGGTTTAGCCACTTAGTGCACGGAGGCCTCACCGGCGCCGCTGCTAGCGGAAGCCTTCTAATCACACTTCCTCGGCATCCAAAGTCAAGGGTGAGGCCTCTTAGCCAGGTAGTTTTTTTAAATTCTCACTACGTTGTATTTTTTTTTCTTTTCATTTTAAAACTAATATTTTTATGATGGTGAAAATTTGTTAGATTGTAAAAATATGTTGCGGGTTGTGAATTCTAGTCGAATGCTGAAGCAGGCATAGAACGTACGTGATGTCGCCTCCAAGATGAAGATTGCATATGACCCAGACATCGTGGAGTGCCTACCTCACAACAGCATAGCAACATCGCTAGTAGCTGTGGTGTTGTTAGTAAAAAAAAATTGTCATTTTCAGTGGGAGTCTTGGGCAGAAATTCCCAAGAAGACGAAGAAACTAGTGTGAGACAAGTTGTCGGTTAGTACATTAATTTTTAGCCTTTATCATTTTTTTAATTTTGTTTACAAATATTAAAAACCAAAATATATTATCTTAATATTACTAAATTTCTTACTATTATTTTATTATTTTTCATATTTGTAGGTCATTTATGATCTTCAGGACATATCCCTCAAGACCATCACCTACTTAGAGGAGACCTTAGTAAACCGGTACAAAGTGGTGGGATGATCTGAAGATTGCTCGCCTACATGTTTCAAGTGAGTTGTAGGACCGGCCGGAGGATTAGGAGTGGCTCTGCAAACATTTTACGAACCCAAATTTTGTGGTATGTACATAATATTTTAATAATAATTTATTATTGTTTTACTTATTTTTTAAGTTTTTTTTATTAATTTATTTCAAATAGTAGCAGTAACATGTATATTGTGTGTTTAATAGAAGAAATATGTTGTTGGCAAGAAAGCTCGAGAGTCAAAGAAACTTCTCGACCATTCTGGTTCGATGCCTTTTTCGTATAGACTTGAGGCACGACGTCAAGTAAAAGTATATTAACTTTGAAATTTTATACAATTTAGTTATTATTATTGATTAATAAAATTTTCTTAATGTTTTTTTTCTTCAAGAGGGTTCTAAGTTCCCAGAGATTGACATGTTCAAGGACGTTTACATTCGACCTGGTAATGAGATCACTGAGCAGCTTCACGTAAGTATATGTAATTATTATTATTCTTATATGTATGAATCATTCAAATATTATTTATATTTTGTTATAAAACATTATATGTTTTTTCTTTATTATTATAGGCTGCTATGGTGGAAAAAAGCACTGCTGTTCTCTAAGAAGCAACATTGCAGCTTCCCTCGGAGAACCCGATCGAGGACATCACGGTACCCAAGGATGTAGGTTTTCAGATCATGACTGATGTCCTAGATCAGAACTTCGGTCGTCGTCATGGCAAGGTTGTTCGATGTATGAGGAAAGCACGGGTTCGTGAGACGGGTGCCTCTTCTTCCAGATTAAACACAGCAGAGGTTGATGCATTGAAGGAGGAAGTGACAACCCTAAGGGGTCAGCTTGCAGTCCAGGAAGAGCAGATGATGGCCTAGGGCGAGCAGATGAGGGCGCAGATAAGGGCCCAGAGAGAGGAGATGAGGAACTATGACAAGACAATGAGAGACCCTGTATAAGCCATACAGATGTTCGGCCTCCAAATCTCGCTACTAGCACTTCATCCTGCTCCACCTTTGACCTCAGAGCCACCTCGCCCTGCTAATACCCAGTAGCTTGATGTATCAAACCTAGAAGATTACTTATAGTTTTTTCATTTTTGTTTGGACATCTTGTATGTACATTTTCATATATTTTATAATTAGATACTTTTGCTTGGTTAATTAATTATTGTTTAGAATTTAATTACAATATTTGTCAAAAATTAAAATAAAATAATATTTTTGACTAAAAAAAAAAGGGGGTTTGCATGATGCACCCCTACACCGTGCAAAGCCACTTTTGCACGACGCACCTCCTATGTCGTGCAAAGCCACTTTGTGCGATCGCGCAAAGTCTCTTTGTGCAAAGTAGGTTACTTCTTCATCACGCAAACCCTTTTGTCACTACCTTAGCGCAACGGTTGGCGCGTGACGAAGGTTCGTTGCGCTAATGTTTACGTGATAGTTTTTTGACTTTGCACAACGAAGGACCTGTGTCGCGCAAAGTGTTTTTTGTACTAGTTATGATTAGTATTAAAATTAAACCATAACATAGAAAAACCTATAAGAACACAGTTTTCAACTTATTAGGCCGTTTATCCTTTGTCATCAATGTTTTTTTCTGGTTGAATGAAGGTACAAAGCGTTCTTGGTCTTTGAAGATGAAACGAATGAAATCAATGCTCTCATTATTAGCAAATCATGTGAAAAGGCCTTTGGCACCACGTGCAAAGATTTGGTTTTCAATCAAAGATTAGCATATCAAAAGCAATTGCCAAGCGAGTTTCTCAGACTTCTAGGCCAAAGGAAAAATTTTCATCTCTGATTTGGAAGCAGATGAAATTTGTTGAATTCAAATGATTTTCTCATCTACAATGTCTCTGACGACACCATGATCCAACCAGCAACTCCATAGTCTATAAGCAGAGAAATTACAGTGTCTTCCACAACAGTTTCATCGTGCACTACACTGCCTAAAACAACTGGAGAATCGCAAAAGAGAAAAAGAGATTCAATCAAGAGAGCCCTTATTACAGGAGCTGAAAAAAAAACAGTTACATTCTGCATAACAACATTTTTTTATCGATCTCAAATTATTTTCAATGTGATCTTAATTTATTTTTCCAATCTCTTTAATATGTTTGGCACAGTGAGGCAGAGAAATCGCTTAAACAGATGTGCAGGATTTTGACCAGGTTCCGATCAAGTTGTTGAAAAAAAAAATTCTTCTCTAACTAGCGCGAAAACGAACACTACAAAAATAAAACTAGGTAACTTTGCTTTATTCCCATATTTTATCTGATGTAAACATATTTATATGTACACTT